ATCCTTAGATATAACTAGAGAAAAAAAAGTACTAACAACCAGACCATCGATAGCTATATATGGCCTTTAAATCCCAATAATATAAAGCTAGTATTTGCCAAAATACTATTTCTGAAAACAGCTTTCACTTATATTATTTACAAGAAAAGAGTAAAAATTATTAAAGAAAAAGGTAAAATATATAAAAAAGAAAGATAAAGAATGGTTTTTATTGATAATGTTAAAAAAATAATAGATAAAATATAATTTTATTAAAGAAATTTAAGGTAATGACAACTTTGATTATGTGTTGTAGTATATTTTTAGACTTTCTAAAACATGTGAAAAGCCTTGGCAATATAGAATATCCAAATAGAATCTCCTATAACACCAATGAACTATGCCAAGCTAATGCCAAGCAAAACTATTTTTATTAATACTCGGCTCTCTATTATTCAATAAATTACATATTAACTAAAAATAAAATACATATTGTTGTGTAACTCTCATATTGATCTACAAAACCTATTATAGTTATTTAGAGCTAACTAAAAAAAATTATAATTTTATTACATAATACTATTATAAATTTTATAATCTAATAAATATTACATAATTTATTTAGAATAAATATTCTTGTTGCATCCTATTACATAATATTTTTGTCACAGGTCATGTGCGATATATAAACAATGATTATCATAATAATCATTGATTTTTTTTTTTTTTTTTGCTTGTTTTTATTGCATGTACGTTTTACTAACCAACTTTTTTTTTATGTAACCAGGCATCATTACTGGAGTCATCGCTTTTTTGGAGTCATCTTTTGGAGTTGTTGTTTTTTAGAGTTATCATTTCTGGAGCCGAGCTAATCTTCATTGGCATGGTGTCATCGATTTCGGTAAGCTTTGTTTCACTTGTGAATTTGTCATTGGTGTCGTGTCGTCGATTTTGTTTCGCTTGTGTGAATTTGTTATTGGCATAGTGTTGTCAATTTCAGTGGACTTTGTTTCGCTTGTGTGAATTTGTTGTTGGCATAATGTCGTCAATTTCGGTGGATTTTGTTTCGCTTGTGTGAATTTGTCGTTGGTATGATGTCGTCGATTTCAGTGGACTTTGTTTCGCTTGTGTGAATTTGTGTTGGCGTAATGTTGTCAATTTCGGTGTACTTTTGTTTCGCTTGTATGAATTTGTCGTTGGCATGGTGTCATCGATTTCAGTGGACTTTGTTTCGCTTGTGTGAATTTGTTGTTAGCGTGGTGTTATCAATTTCGGTGGGTATTGTTTCACTTGTGTGAATTTGTTGTAGATGCGTCAATTTCAGTATCACCTCCGGATTCTGCTTTTGGTAAATTTATTTACTATATTTTTTTGTTGTTTTGGTTTCTTGGTTGTAAAATACTAACTCCCTTTTCTTTCACGGCTGTTGTGCTTTCTTTGTTCAGATTTGGAATTTTGACTTGGTGGGAAATTTATCTTACTTGTTTGTTGTCTTGGTTTCTTTGTTGATAAGTACTAATACTCTGCTCTTTTTCCCAGCTTGTCTTTATTTTGCAATTGTGCTTTTGGTTTGGGTGAGTATACTTACTTTGTCTGTTATTTTGATTTTTTGGTTGTAAATACTAACGCTCTTTTCTTCTTTTCCGGTTGTTGTGCTCTTTTTGTTTGAAATTGGGCTTTTAGCTTGGGATTTAAAGGCCATATATAGCTATCGATGGTCTGGTTGTTAGTACTTTTTTTTCTCTAGTTATATCTAAGGAT